TTAGTAAACGAGTGAGGCCGTCAGTGATGTATTCACGTACACTAACACACATAAATATGCATCACATCAGACTAGCCGTGTCACGATAGCTGACATTTTGTGGACGATATCAATACTAGTAAAATTCTACAATTCAACATTCTATGAACGTTTGCAAACTGGTCTGTTAGAAAGTGGATCACATGATAAAGGAAGTGGATCACATGATAAAGGAAGTGGATCACATGACGATAAAGTTGTAATTTAACCTTCACCGATACTTATTTTAGATCAAAAGAGCCTGAACACACCATAGTGTTAGCAATGCAGGAAATGAGTCCTGAAACCCTGACATGACTCAGCTGTTTAGCACCGTTTGGTTGGTAGCCTGAAATAAGAGATTTTAACGTTTTGTTCTCGACCATAAAATACATCCGTAAAAACCCCAAAGGTTAATTTTTTAAATGGCAAAACCATAATTCTGTCTAACATCAGCCACCTGAACTCGACTTCTATAACTATGTGTGCATTAGCTGTCTTTTAGTTACCTCAGTGTTGTCTGTCATAGTGCAACTACGACTACAACAAGTGCTTCCGTTTCCGGTTTAGTTACCTGAACGTTTGCTGTTGTGCTACTACTACGACTCCTAGCTGTGTTGTAGTTACCCGAGTCCTCGCTGTCGTAGCCGGCCTTGTTGAGGTGGCGGAGGTCGAGTCGAGAGGGAAGGTCCTGGACGGATACCGGCGTTCCCCTCGGGTCGGCGTACAGCAGCAGCAGGGGCTGGTAGTGGCCCTTAATGCAGCGGGAAACCACGTCCTTCCACTTGGGGCCAATCTGCAGAAAGTGACAATAACATGAAGCACGGGATGAATCAGAAAGCTGAGGGAAATGCAAAATAAACACCGATATGTAGGAAGCTTGAAACTATTCGTTAATGCTCTTACATTTTCAGGTAAATGCTAAAAGTTGTCAACATCAGTTTTGAAGATTTTGCTTTTCAAATCTCAATTCATTATTTGAATCTTGGGTATTTATAACCAACTTTTAAATATAATTAGATTCAGTAAAGGATTCAAAGTACCCACACTCAGCCCTACTACTGTCATATGTTTAGAAGTAGCTGACATCCTCGTTTATATATAAAGCTTTCCACGTTAAGCATCATAACAAATCATCAAGTGTAGCTGGCGAGTTTACCAGCTGGAGTAATAATGTCCAGAAAACAGAGCTCAGCAGGAAAAACAGTAAACGCGTGACGGCCGTTTTGAAGAAAAAAACAAAGTTGTTTTCCTGCTTTCTGTCTGTGAGCGTAACCAAAGTCCTCCTGATTGTTATTCCAACCTTTCCTCCATTTCCCCACCTAAAAGAAAAGTCCCCGATCGCCTTCAGATCTGCTCCGATATAACAGGACGTCCCGAAATTGAAAAAACGCCGACGCATCCGTCAAACCGTGTGTGAAAATGTGTGTGTTAGTGCAAGAGATAGAAAGAGATGTGTGAGCAAAAGTGTCAGGCCTGTGGTGTGTGTGTGTGTGTGTGTGTGTGTGTGTGTGTGTGTGTGTGTGTGTGTGTGTGTGTGTGTGTGTGTGTGTGTGTGTGTGTGTGTGTGTGTGTGTGTGTTGACCACACCCTCGGCCCCAACCAGCTGGACTGACCAAC